CAGAAATAAAAAAATAATATATAGGAATGAACTGTTTAAAATTAAGGTAGGCTACGATGCGGAATATAATATATACCTTTACGCAACGTTTATTCATTACAAACAAAAGACGATTCTGAGCGAAGTTGGGTTAAGCATAGTTTGAAATGTCGTAATATTTACGATTTTCGGCGAAAATTCTTATTAAAATTCTAATAAAAAATATTCTACATTTCTCATTTTTTTTTTTTTTTTTAATCACAAAGTACAAAAATTATTTTTTATCAATATTTAAATTATTTAGAATCTAAAATTGATCTCAATATATTTCATTTATTTAGATAATGATAATGGTAAATAATTATAGCTGATATATACGTAAAATAATTACTTTTATTAGTTTAATAATAATATAAAAATGTTTATACCTGCCATACCAAACATACCTAATCTAGTTATATATTGAAAGTAACAATAAATAATTATAATAAAAAGTAATTTTGAATGGGAAACGGTCAATTGATCATACTTAAATCGTGTTTTTCTCGATTTTCTTCTTTGGTCAGATAACTCAAAAATTAATGGAAGAAAACAAATGTATAGTAATTTGTTGCCAACTGTTGAGATAATCTATTTGGAATCGATGTTTCAAAAAAAATACAACACAGTAAACAATTCGTATCGTACATTAAGATTTGATAAACTTGAAATATTTTTATGNCAATATTCAAATTATTTAGAATCTAAAATTGATCTCAATATATTTCATTTATTTAGATAATGATAATGGTAAATAATTATAGCTGATATATACGTAAAATAATTATACAACACAGTAAAAAATTCACATCATACATTAAGATTTGATAAAATTGAAATATTTTCATGAACAAAAATTGTTTTCAAGGAAAAAAAAATATTTGTGAAAATTATAGTTTCTTTGCTACATGTTAAATCTACGTATAAAACATGAAACAAAAATGATTAACTACTTCTATTTTATAATAAATACTGATATGTGATACATATCATTTTGTAGGATTCAAAAAAAAATCCCTAATTTCGAAGGAGGATTTTATTCCTCGGCCCTCCATGATTTCGTCATTTTTACGATATTTTGAAGTTACTTACTTTTTTTGTTATCCCAAGATCGTATTGAAAGTACGCAGAAAAATAATTTACTTCAAAAGGTGGATAATTATCTTCAACATTGTTTTCGTGAAGACTAAGACACTGGGATTTTACACCCAACCAAAAATTATTTCCGTAATAAAAACCAGGTTTCGGTATTCCACTTGAATCTAACACTATTTAATTGTAGGAAAAAATAAAAACAAATATAAATAAATAATAATATAATAATAACTAATGAACGGACTTTAATGCCTTAAAAAAATGCTTTTAGATCATAAAAATGAACAATAATTTGATAACTAATAGTTTTGAACA